CCTAAGCAAAGCTGGAAACCGCACCCCAAACTCGGGTCCTGGTGATGTTTATACGCAAGCGCCACTAACTTATTTAACTCCATTGCTATGCTGCCCTATAACCCGAAGGGTGGCTTATAAGTGCTAAAACAAAATAACACACGCACAGTCCAATACAATAATTGATGATCTAATAAAATTGATAAAACACTAAAATAATAAACACATCACATAATAAAATATTTCCACACACACAAACTGGTCCGCCATCAAGTCCCAGCTTGGATCTGAGCGGCTTCAGGCTTGCAAGGCAGCAACCACGTGAATCGGAGCCACTAGGGTTGGACTTGGTGCCAAATTCCGGTGGGAGGCGTCCTCGAGATGTCCTAACCCTTTCCAATAAAAGAAATCACATTCTTACAGGCTGGCTGTAAGTGCAGAAACCTGGCTTCAGATAAATTCTTTAACACATGATCTGATTCTTTTGTTAGGCAGTGCCAAGTGATGAACACCTAGAAATGCTTAATGATACATAATTGGCAACCTGAAGATGCATATTAATAGCTAGTAATTCTACCGAAAGGAAGACATGCATAGACAGAAGCTGGTTCACACTGAGTTCTGGAAAAGTGGCCTCGGAAACCAGTTACTGAGATGATCTGGATACAATCCAAAGAGGAAATACTGTGAAAAAAGTTTTTGCTTCGTTACTCACCAGCTTAGGAAATAGGACATTTTCAGCCCCACATCCCTCAAAAGAATTTTCCTAGGGTGGCCATGTGTCCTGATTTACAGAGGAGAGTCCTCTGTTTAAAGGACTTCCAGAAGACAGCCTTCTGTTCTGAAGATGTCCTCTATCTGAAGAGCTGGTCAGGCCATGTCTGGTTGAAGGTAAAGAACCAGCAAGTTCCCTCCCGATAGCCCTAGGACATCCGACTGAGCAGGCCAGCTTGTTGTTGTCTTCCCAGTGTGGTGAGATACACCATGTTGCCAGTTGCGAAGTCGCATCCAACCCATTGCGACCCCATGGACAACACTCCTCCTGGCCTTCCTGTCCTCCACTATCCCCCGAAGTCCACCTAAGCTCATGCCGACTGCTTCAGTGACTCCATCCAGCCACCTCATCCTCTGCCATCCCCTTCTTCTTTTGCCATCTATAGTTCCCAGCATTAGGCTCTTCTCCAGGGAGTCCTTCCTTCTCATTAGGTGGCCAAAGTATTTTAGTCTCATCTTCAGCATCTAGTTCTATATATGCCTCTATTTAAATTTACATATGGAAATGTTACATGGATCTGTGCCCCCTCTTGCTTTTCTTAAACAATGTGCAGTCTCATTTTGGGTAATTTTCAAGAGGTTATCCTAACCAGAAAATTTCTTGGTGCTCTTTACTCTGTATTAAGGACTCTCTCATGTTTGAAGGGACTCTGCCCTCATCCAACACCAGCAAGACACATCCCCCCATCCAGTGGGTTTACTGGGAATTGTGTGGCTACGGGTTGCTTGCCATTTTAGCTTTCTCCCATTTCCCCTCTGAGTTCAGGGCTGCATCAGTGTTGCATCCGTGAACCCTCAGCTGCTGGAGTCAGGGAGTGACTGGACTCCGAAGTTTTGCAGTGTGTCTGTTTTGAGCAAATGAAAGCCGGGCCCCTTGGGAATCGGGCTGTGGCAGCCTTCTGATTTTCTGGCTGGCAGCATTCCCAGGTAAATTGAGCCAATTGGTGTTGCAATCAGCTGGGGGCAGGCAGCTCTGAGAAAAGAACACTGCTTGCAGATCTGCCCGAACTCACTATTCACAGTGAATCTTTAAAAGGAAAAAGAGGAAGAAAGACCATGTGCTGATTTGTCTGTTTCGCCAGAAGCGCTGCTCCTGCACCATCCAGCTGCCATTTCCCCTTGCACTTCCATCTTTGGCATATATTGAGGGAAAGGCACTATCCTAAGTCAGAGATCAAGAAAGTAACATGTGCTGATGGATCAGACGTGTTCCTGGGAAGAGGAAAGGCATGGAAGACAGGCCGACTGCAGGACCCACGAGTGGGCAAGTGGGAAAAGAGGCTTCCTTCCGCGCTGAAGCACCTCAAGGCATTTAGAGACATCCCAAATATTTCATGGCTGGATTGGGGGACTATCAAGTATTTTTCAGGTACACATCATATCAAATATTATTATAGCCGATAAATGTTGGAAAACATTTTATGGTGGCTTATTGTAATCAGGTCTTGTTTTAGGGACTTTTGCCAACTGTCCAGCTCTCAGTAGTGTAGAAATAAAATAATTCTTCACCATCTCCTGTAGGGTACGTAATTTTATTACTACATTTTGTATCCTGTCCTTTTCCCTCTTGTTCAGAACCCAAGGCAGTTTACATGTTTTGTCTCCTCTTCATGTTATCCTCACCACAGCACTGTGAGGTAGATTGAACTGAGGGTCTGTGACCAACTCAAAGTCTAGAACCTGGATCTCCCAATCCCAGTCCAATACTCTAACCACTGTTCCACACTGCCTTCCATTGTCTTGCTAGTGGAGACTTAGCCACTGCTTTCAGGGGTGGTAAAAATGGTGGAGTTTGTATTAGAGTAGGAGTCAGGATATGAAGGTCCGAATCACTGCTAAGTGATTAAGCTCCCTGAGTGAATCTCTCCCTCAGCCTAGCCTACCTCACAGGATTGCTGCGAATGAAGGAAAACAATGTGTCCACCTTTGGACCTCTTGGAACTAAAGCAGGATGTTAAAAGTGGTAGAATGAGGAAGATGGCTTCTGCTCTGCTCCCGTGTTCTCTCATTCCACCTGGAAAGAAGAGGGCACATCCGGGAATGCCACTGGATGTGGCTAGTCTGGTAACTCTGCATCGAAGGTGCGGCTCAGTTGTGCCTCCTCTCGCATGGAGCTGGGATTGCATTTTCCCCGATGAAATGCAATTGGAGGTCCTTGCGATCTGAGCAAGCTCCTGGCCGCGTAATCCAGCACTGAGGTCCGTGGCTTGCAACGGCACTAGAGGCGGGTAACTTGTCGTCCTCCAAGATGTGCTGGCTAAGAACTCCCATGAGTCCTTCCCACGGGCTTTTCTGGCTAGGAGGGAGTCTTGGAGTGCCACAAGTTGCCCGCTCCTGCCCTGCAGGGTGAACGGATGCTTGCAAAAGGACTTTAGTTTGTACAGATCCACAACATGAGAGCGGGGCAGGCAGCAAATTAAACTTTCCAAGGCCCTCTTGGACTGGAGTATGAATTAGTGTACAATACGAACTCTGTACACAGACATAAATCGTACGTAATGCAGCTTTGCCAAACAGGAACCTGCCAGGTATGTTAGGACTATCAGTTCCCCAATTCTCATCTAGAGTGGCGACAGATGTTGCAGCTTAGTTCATCTGGAGGGAGCAGCTGGGGAGGCCGTTAGGGTGACTTTGGTCCAATGTGAAAAGCTTCCTTGAAGGAGTGCAAGGGCTGCCATCCACTCATGTAGGAGGAAGCCTGGTGATGGGCTAAGAGGACCAAACCAGCCTCTTGCTACTTTGCAGGATGCCTGGGAGCAGGTACTCTTGAATGTGTTGTAGAGAGTGCAACTCTGCTTTTAATGTGTGTCAGCTGAATTTTGTTAGGAATAAATTTGATACAAGTCAAGCATTATCTACCTTCTGCCTCTTTTTTATTATTAGAAACAGGTGTTCTGAGCAAGTATAGTAACAAATGTTTTTGCACCCAGCACTTTTTCTCCCTTTTGAAATCTAAATTCATTTGTAAAAAGTCTGCTGCCAACTGTCACACCTGGGAGAAGGTGCCATCAAGTCATCTGACTTACTGTGACCATCCAAAAGGTCTTGTCCTTCACAGCCCGGCTCAGCTCTTGTCAACTCAAGGCTGTGGCTTCCTTTAGAGAATTGATCCATCTCATCACAGACACTAGCCTGGCTGTCTTCTCCAGTGCGTCTTGCCTTCTCATGAGGTGCCCAGAGGGCAACAGCTTCAGTTTCATCTGTTTTTCTTCCATGGGAGAAAGGACCGAGGGTAAAAAAGCACTATTTCACACTCGATCAGGTCTCAAAGTCACTGAAAACAATGAGGCTTAAGTCAGCACGCTGTTAGTTTTAATGGGACTTAGGCCTGACTTAAACGTGAAACTGGGTGCCGAATGCAAGCAAAAACTGGGCCTAAGGCTGCTATGCATGGGATTTGTCAGGACCATGGAACCCTGGCGTGGTTAGGAGCAGAGGAAGATCTTCGCAGACCCATGGTGCAACCAGCTGAGTACTGTCAACACGGGTAGCAGGGTTTCTGGGCAGAATTTTTCCTAGCCCTTCCTGGAGTTGCCAGAGATTAAAACCCAAGACCTTCTGCATGGAAAGCATGTGTTCCTGCTGTGAATTATGAACCCTCCTGACAATGGACGGTCAAGTGTCAGACTTGAGCCTCTGATCTGACATGTTAGATGGACTCCATGGATGGGGCTGAATTTCAAGGTGGGAAAATAAAAACCAAGCAGGCAAACTAGCTTCATACACCACCAACTTTCTCCCAATCTTTAAAGTTGTAACTCTCCCCCTTTTCTCTCTCTTTTCCCAAGAAAGGCCAGTTGAGTTGAGCAACAGATATTAAGAAAGTGTAATCACTCTGTGAGTGTGTGTGTGTGTGTGTGTGTGAGAGAGAGAGAGAGAGAGAGAGAGAAACACAAAAAGGAGAAATAAGACTGCATCAAAGGCAAGTCAATAAGGAGTGATTAGTACATTGCATTTATATTCTGCCTTTTTTCCCCTTGCAGGAAATGCAAGGTGGCTGACATGGTCCGCCTTCAATCCATCTTTTCCACACAACAACCCTGTGAGGTAGGTTAGGCTTAAAGTATGTGACTGGCTGAAAATCACTCAGTGAGCCCCCTGGCTAAGCGGAGACTAAACCCTGGACCTCCCAGGCCCCCAGTGCAACCCTCTAACCACCTTCCCACACCGGCTGTCTGCTGCACTGCCTTCTGTACAAGGCACTACCGTTCAGCTCCTCAGCTCTGCTCCCAGGATGAGGCAATGGAATTTAAAGGCGACATCAGCCGCAAGGTACACTGTTAGACTGTGTGTGGGTTTTTCAGATTCATGCTTAATCCGACCCCAGCTGAGTTCGGGTCCGTACATCCACATGAACTGGAAAGCCAGTACCACAGTCTGTCACCACTGACAAAAGTAAAAACTGTCAAGCAGAAACTAAACAAATGCATGGCCAAATGGAACCCTCTTTCTATCTGCATAATCAATATCTGTCTCTCCATGAGGATGCTAATTGCAGTTTGAATCAAAAAATTACCAAATGCACAGATCTGCCTGTGCTGATTTCATCATTCATGCGTGTTGCCGAAAACCTATCCTTCCCTTTCTTAAGAAGAAAGTCTTTTGCAAATCTCTTTCATTTCAAAAGCATGAGTGCATGACAGTTGCCGACTCAGGGAAGTATGGGGTCTCCATAAGCACAGTCCTCTTCCAAGGCCAGATTGTAGTCTCCGCCCTTTCCTCTTTTATATGCGCTCGTCACAATTCGAAGCCAGCCACGTTCACCCTGCAAGATACAAATTGGCAGTGAGTTCCTTATGGGATGCTGAAACCAACCTGAAATTACTTTGTCTTATTATGGTACAACCTTGAACCTGCTTAAACATCAAGAACTGTGCAAATTGGGGTGGGGGGAACAGAAACAAAGAGAGAGTGTTCTGAAACCTCTCCAAAACATGTAGTGCACTGTGGGTTATTTGGAAGTTTCTGAGCAGGGTTTGGAACTATATGCCTGCCACTCCTGATCAGAAGCTTTATTTTATTTTTATTTTATTTTGGCTGGAGAGCCATGCAGAAAGGGGAGTAAAAAGAAGGTGGCCCAGTGTCCACTCCTAAAGTGGTTTGCTGGCAAGTTCTCTTCCTAAAGCACCAACTCCCTAACACCCGCTCTGAGCTCAGGAGGTCAGGGGACAATCCTTTAGGGACCAGAATAAATTCAGGGGAACTGAGTTCTAAGTCTCTGATATTCTGCGCTGCATGGATATGACCAACTGTGTTTTTACAAACTCTTATGGGACCAAACCAAAGCACTCCCTCTGTGTGCACATACACAGAACCAGTCGGCGCATCAGAGGGGACAACGATGCTGATGTGCTCAGCAGGGCCTCAGAACCAGCTCTTCATCGCTGCAATGAATGCAATGCTCTTTTTGTACATGTGAGACTTTTATCTACAATGAGTCATCCAACAGCTGGGATTTCCTAGAAAAAAGACTGAGTTGCTTTTTATTGCTGAGTTGTGCATTATATTTTTCAACTGCCCAACATCAAACCTTCCCTGGGCCAGATTAAGAGTCAAGCATCTATTCCTGTAAAGGAGAAGCTGTTCCAAGTCTTTTTTGGCCACTGCTAACATGAGGGCACCATCTGCAACTGCGACACCTCCAGGAGAGGACTGCTCTCATTGCTGGCCACAGGGTGCATCCCAGCCACACCCGCAGGACTGTCAAGCCAATGCTGCCCACTGGCTCAGCGCGACTTGACACTCGCCCGTTTGGCCTAATGATCCCAAATTTGTGTGTGCTGCATACAGCAACACCAAGAATTTTCATCAACGTACTGTGTGTGCTGAAATGCAGAGCATTATCTCTGCAAAAGGGCATCCAGTGAATTTGCCTGTGTTGCTTTCTGTTCCTGCAATCACCATTTTTTTTTGCATCTTTGTTCTTCCCTTAGACTTTCTGGAGCAGCTAAATCCACCTCCATTTGCTGCAACAGAATCGTAGCGTTGGAAGGGGCCTATGAGGCCATCGAGTCACGCTCCGCTCAATGGAATCTCCTATCCCAATCCAGCTACATCCTGAAAAAACACACAAAACCCTTGCACACAGTTGCTTTAGTCTGCTTACCCACGGCTCGCCCCAGGAGTTCCGGACTATCCAGTATTCGGTCCCATTTTCTACTCCCCAGCCAGCAACAGAGACAATGTGGTTTATTGAAGCACCTGGGGAGTATTCAGCATAAAGTCCTCCAGTGTATTCTTCCAGCTTCGGAGTGGCCATGATTCCGCAGCTGTTTAAATATTCAAAACAGCAAAAACAGACACTTTTAGATTCGTGCGTTAGCAGCGCCACATGCTCACTTGGGATGCAGTCACCAAAACCACAGCTCACGGTCCCATGTCAGAGCTTTCAGCTGCAGTGAGCCATGACAGGAAATGGCTTCTGTGGGTGGGAGCAAAAGTTGCTCCGCCTTGCCCAGATCTTAGAGAGATCAGCTCCCAAGACATTTGTTGAAGCTTCCACTTTCCCTCCGCCGCTTCCACAAACGACATGCGCCCCTCGTGTCAAAGAAAACTCTCCTTCTCTACCATCAGGAGATGACCCAGACCTTGCCTGGGCACCAGCCATCTCTTGGTGAGAGGACAGGATTGCACAGCATAGCAACCTGCCATTCAATACCTTTGCCCAGCACAAATTGAGCCACGCCCATCCCTACTTGAGTCAGTGGAATTATGGGAGCAAATGCCCCATCGGTAGGAGCCAAAGTTCCCAAATGGCCCTGGCCATTACACAGTCTAAAACCATGGGACTTTTCTTGCATGGTTTTTTGGACTAATTCTCTGTTCTTGGCCTCGTGCTTATTACCTAGATCATGGGTCCTCAAACTAAGCCCCGCAGGCTGGATCCGGCCCGCCATGCCCATTTAACCAGCCCGCCATGCCCACAGGTTTTGCACTTGCTGGGCACGCACGCAGGCACGAGCGCATGGCTTGCAAGTCAGTGCCTAGCCGTGCGTGCCTGGTGGCAGCTTGCTCGCGGGGAGATCGTTTTGGACTAACTGGAGAAAATGATCTGCTCACGAGCAAGCCGGCGCCTCACCCCATGCGCCTCCCCCCCCCCGCCACAAACCCACCGGCACTGTCTTGGCGGCCCGCACCCACCGCTGGCACCTGTCAACTGGCCGCCTTTAGAAAAATTTTGAAGACCCCTGACCTAGATGCTTGCCATAAGGTTGTATTTCTTTACCTGATGGGTCCCTTGGCATAGATTTCAGCCATCATCTTTTCTCGCCCACTGAGGTAGCCATAATCAGCAACTTTCCACAAGGTGTAATTCTTTATCAGGTGACATTGTTGGAAAGTAACACACGTTCCACACTGGTTAAACTTCCTGCACTCTACAAAACCAGCAGAGATATTTGACACAGAAAGTCCCCTTTTATCCAACGGTTCAAAGCACTGAAATGAGGTTTTGCAATTATTTATTCAATCCATATTCTGCTTCCCTGAGAGGCTCTGAGCAACTCCATGCATAGCCTGAAAATAACTCAGGGCCATTTAGCAGCCCCCAGAAAGGTCAAAAGCCCTCAGGGGAAGTCATGTTGCCCACCCTGACTCCATTTGTGGAACTCAAGCTGGGCAGGTCCACTCAAGGAGCCTTGCCTTGCTGTTTCCTGCAATATGCCTACTTTCATCCCAGAGAGAATAAGGCTGCACAAAACTTCAAAAAATGAGAGGAAAACTGAGTATTTCCTATTAATTCCTCCCAAATTGCAAATATCATGCAGCAATTCTGAGATACTTTGTAGCAGTTACACATACTTGTCCCTGACTTCACTAATTTGCTTTCTGTGAAATGGGTTCTGCAGCAGAAAATGGAAAAGATAAAAATGTTGACCTTTATATATAGTAACTGTCCTAAGCCCCATAGACAGAACCAGGGGAATATAAATATATTTATGCATATATAAATTTTAAATTAGCGTTATCTCAATCATTTGTCAAACAAGACACTGCTAGCTCAGCCTGCTCCTAAGCCACTTGTCGGTCCTCTTCTTTGAAAGTGGGGTGGGCAAGTTTGGACCTTCAAGGAGCCAATTCCTCCATCAGGAGTTGCTGCAAGCCACACACTCACCTCCAAAAAGCAGTCTGAAAAGGTAGCAGTTTGCTGCCAAAGTTCAGTGGCAAACCACTAAGGAGACTTAGCAAAGTCAGAAATCAATCAAAAGCAAGCTAAGTTAAGCTCTGCAGGACTTGGGATGGACGATTTAGCATGTTTTCAAGCTAAGGGGGGCAATGCTATGCAACTTTAGAAAGAAAAAAAGGCTTTTTCTGTCTATGCTTGTGTTGGACTGCACCTTAAATATGTCAGTGTTTAGCCTTCATGGCACTTTGCTACTGAATTTTAGAAGCGATAAACTGCAACTTCTAAAAACTTTTAAATCAGTTATTTAAAAAGCTAGGGCCGTGCAGAAATAGCCTGCATGTCAGCTGCACACTGCCCACCCCTGTTCTAGAAAATGTGGACTAAATTAACCAGTCTGCAGAGGATGTTCCCCACCAGGCCAACAAAAGCCTGTTTAAAGCTGTGCTTTATGCAGGCTTTAATTGCATACCTCTTTGGAATGCGATCTGGGCTGTTAAGTAGGGTGCAGATATGACAGGTATGGAGGGGGAGAGAGAGAGATGGAGATGGAAGGACAGAGATATTCAGGCAGTTGTTTCTGCCATTCTCTCACTTTGATCTTTGGCTTGGTAGTTGTTGCAGGTCTCGTCAGGGATGCCGTGGGTGTGGGCGTACTGCCACACGCCTGAATGGTCTCCACCATGGCAGGTCCCAGCCTCGGCACAGTCAATCACATGCTGAACTGAGAGGTAAGCAGAGGGCCAAGCGCCTTTCCTCTTGATGTTGATGCGATCTGAGAGATAAAGGCAACTGGCAATGAATGCAAGACAGACACAGCATTCTACAGCACAGAAATCATTCGCCCTCAAGTGACAGTTGTAAAGGAATGAAATGCTGCAGCATCGAGTGATCTGCTTAAAGAGGGCAGCCAGCTGCCCATGCAAGAGGCAGAATTAATATGCCCAGATCAGTGTTTCCTTCCTCCACCTTGTCTTCTGCAGCCCACCCACCCCCTGCAACCCAAGATCCCAGAATATTTTATTCCTGCGTGTTGGAGGAATTGTTTCTAACATAGTACAGTTGGGCTGCAGATGAAGGAGGAGTTGCCAGAAATCAGATTTGGAAGTGTAATGCTCTTCTCAACAGTTTCCTTAGCTAAATCCCCAGGAAGAGTCCAAAAATTCAAGCAGCTATGTTGGAGCCATATCAACCAAGCAGGTCTGGCATTTTCCATCTCCACCAGGAGGACTTTTGTAAAGCAAAGGCCCAAAATTTTAGGCTACCCTAAAATACTTTGCCTCTTAAGAGGGACCAATATAAAAAGCATTCCCTCATGGCCACTGTGTGGATTGCAACTGGGCTCAAAGAAAACAGGGAGGTTTTGTAGGAGTGGCAGGTTCCTGCTAATCAAAGAAGAGCAGGCTCAGCGTTCCTACAAGCCCTGGCCGCACGGCACCACTGCCCCTCATGTGAGCAAACAGAGGAGAAACTGGGAATCCAAGCCATTCAGAACAGCTGAGCTACTGATGCTTGTTAGCTGCCAAGGCGAGGAAAGATGCCCCATGTTCTGTGAGGTGGCTGGGCAACACTGGCCCCACTACCTACCTGCGAGGGCACTGGTGCTTCCATGAGCCCAGCATGACCCACAGTACTGTGGGATGTGTTGGTTGCGCGTGGTGCTCACATAATTGACTCCATTGATATTTCGCCAGTCCCAGCTCTTGGGCAGTGTGGATACGTCCAAATATTCATGCGGGCGACGGTAGGTTCTATTACAATAGACAAGAAGGAGAAGCAAGTAAATACTTTCCTTGTCGTCTGAGAAGGGGACATGTTATTTCCACAGCTTTGTGGTTTTGTCAGCTGGTCTGCTTGTTTGGCAGTCACATGAGCTGGGAAGGGCCATGGCTCAGCAGGAAGGCAGCTGCCTCATCTGCAGCATCGCTATGTAACTCTGGGAAAGACGCCTACCTGAAGCTCTGGAAAGCTGCTGCCAGTCCATGTCAGCAATACTGGGCTGGTAGCCCCGTGGTCTGACTAAATACAAGGCAGCTTCCTACCATCCTTCCTTTCCTCCAAACAAGCAAGCGACAGTGGCTGCCAACAAGCAACACTGACCATCCCCTTCAAGGAGCCTCGGCATAAGAAACCGCAGAAAGCGGGTCCAGTGTGAACCTTACATGTTGTGCCAGACTTTTTTTATAGCATTCACACTGGAATGCTGGACCATTTGGCCCCAGAAGAACCCTGCCCCTACTGATGGGCCACCAAACTGAGAGCAGCCCTCCTCTGGGTGCTGCAGCCTGCCAGGCACTTCACAACCTCCCGGGTTTTCGGGGAGGTCAGTATAAGGGCTGAGACCAAGGCATGCAGGATGCGGCTGTGCGTGGCTGCTCAGGTGTGTCTTTGAATGTCAGCTGTTGGCAAGTAACAGCAGGGGAGGGTGACTTCCTGTCAGCACTGGATGTGGGCTCTCCAACTGGATTTGCCTGTGTAGGAAACAGATGCATAAGGAAGTGATCTGGCCCAGGAGGGGAGAGCTCATGCGCTGCAGGGGTTGGCGTGCTGGGTTCTCCTGAGGAGCTAGGAAGCCCCTGGCTGACTCTGGGCCAGTCACTGCCTCTTAGCCTATCCTACCTCACCGGGTTGTTGTGAAGGTAAAATGGAGTGGAAGAGGATCGTGTAAACTTCCTTAGGTTTCTCTCAGGGAGAAAAGGTGGTGCGTAAACGGACATTACAATAATAATCCTAACAGTCTGCCTGTTCCTCTCAAATCAGTAACTTCTGCTGCCTGGGACTGTGAAAGAAGGGCTCCTTGAAGATCAATAAGGTCAAGCAGACCACCCCAAGGGCATTTGCCACAGCAGGTCCTCTACCCCAAGACCGCTCCCTCTTCCAGGCACCCCTGCCAGTACCTGGATATCTGGGGAGGAGATGCCAAGCCTCCACCACTGTAGCTGCCACAGAACCAGGCATTACCCCTTAGTGCAGGGCCTCTTGGGTTGCAATCCTGCACGCATTTGCTCAGGAGAAAGCTCCCCGGGCACCACGGGTCTTATTTCTGGGGAACATGAGTGCAGAGTGAGTCCTTATCCCCACTATCTGTGGGTAGAGAGATAGTGCAACACAGTTTATTCAGCATTGTGGTTTTTGTTTTGTTTCGACATCACAAGGCTGTGATTTGAGGAAGTTCCTTAAAATACTCTCCCCCACACACTTTAGGATTTTTCTTCTTTTAATCAAAGGCTCCATCATATGCACTGCCCACAGTCCCTCCCTGTTCTCAGAAGTTTTCGGTCTTGGCCTCAGCCTTTGCAAAAACGCGAAGCAAAAAGAAGACCCCTTTTGGGCGTTCCTTTGGGCAGTCTTTGCCCTGTTGGGCGGCGATATCTCCAAGCCCAAATCCGTCAAACCAGGGCGGGCGGAAGACAGAGACCCAGATGTTCGAGACTTCCGACTCCCAGAAGACCCTACCGGTGGCCAATAAGCAGGGACGCCAGGAGTCCAAGTCCCAACCATCTGCAGCGCTACTTTCTGCCCGCTAAATCCCGATCGGCCCCATTTCAAGCGAACGGGGAGCGCCGAGGGGCGGCCGGCTGGGGCTTGCGCCGGGGCGCGTGTGTCTAGGCGCGAGGGCGGCTGCCTTACCTGACCCCGGCAGGTCTGCGCGGCAGCGGCCGGTAGCAGCTCTGCCCTTCCTTGAAGTAGAGGCCGGCGGCGGACACGGCCGGCAGCAGGACGCAAGCGCCGAGCAGCGGCGCCAGGAAGGGCGCCTGCCGGACGAGCATGATCGCGGCGCGGCGGGCTGGGCGGCGGCGCTCCCCCGCCGCTTGCGAGGGTCTTGCGAGGGTCCTGCGGGCGCTGGGCGGGCGCTGCGGCTTTCTGCTCCCGGCGCTGCGCTGCCGCCGCGGCTTTTAAAGGAGACGCTCGGGGCGGAATGCGCGATGAATCAGAGCGCTGCTGGCGGCAAGTGCGGGGCAGCGCCGCCCTTGCACATGCGTGTGCGAGAGAGAGAGAGAGAGAGAGAGAGAGAGAGAGAGAGAGAGAGAGAGAGACGCGTGCACACACAGACTACGACCGGCCCTGGCCGAGCGCTTTGCGTCCTCTCGGGCGCGCCTGCCGGTGAGGCGCTGCCCGCGGCCCTGCGAAGGCGGCACCGTCGCGCTGGAGGGCGGGGCGCAGCGGCGGCGTGGCGGTCACACGCGCGAGTTGGGCCCGGGGGCGGCGAGGCGTTTTCCGGGCATGCCGAGCGCGAGGGCCGAGCGAGGAGGGAGGCCGCGGTGGGGAAGGGAATCCAGCCTGCGTGTGCTCCCACGCTCGTGTGCAAAGCTTGCGCTTGTGCAGGCGGGACCTGCTCGCTTGCTTGCGAGGGGCACGCGGGGACCCGGCGCCGCAGCCATCCTCTGCTTTGCGGGCGCGCACCGCCCGACCACGCAGGAGCAAGCAAAACCGGCTTGGAAGACGCGGGGAGCGACAGGGACCCGCGCAGTTGCGTTGGATGTCTGCAGCCGCCTGAAGTAGAACCTCAACCTTGCTGGATCGGGGCCAGAATCCCTCTGGTCCAGGATTATGTTCCCACAGCGGGCCATCAGCTGTCGGAGGCGACATGAATGCAACAGCACCCCCCATGTTCCCCAGCACACCCCCCATGTTCCCCAGTAACTGGCCTGTTCAGGAATTCTGCCTCCAGAATGCCTTTTTGCGCCCACCACACTTTCTTACACATTTGTAAATAAGAGAGATAATCCAAGGACCTTATGCTTTCATGCATAAGGAAATTCTGGGTTTTGTTTTCTGGATCACAAAGCACATGACTCTGGGAGAGGCCCGACTCGAAAGGGGTGAGCGCCGGCATGTGGTCAAAGATTGCTTGAGCAGAGTTTGCCCCTAATCTCTTTGCAGACTGGCCGGCTGGCTGCGTGGCTGGCCAGTCTCGGGTTAGGACGCAGCATAACATTTGCAGAACATAATGGAGAAATCCAGCACAGAAAGAAAACGAAAAAATAAAGCAAAAGAGAGAAAAGGTTTATATTACTATTAATTTCATCTCTATACTGCCCACTAGTCAAAGCTAGATCTAGGCAGTTCACAACAATTTATCCAAGTACAATCAAAATGTTTTTGTTTGGCTTTGTTAATGAAGACTGGATGGAGCAGGACTCACAGCTGCATATTACAAGAGTTCACACTTAGTCAATGGGCATATGAGCTTATTGAACAACGATATTCATGTCTTTGTTTTGGAATCGTGGAATCATATTGTGAGCAATAAGTCTATCTAAGATGAATCAACAAAACGTCCAGTTATCTCTAGGCAGTGTCCCTCAGTGCCGAAGTAACAGAGTCTGAACACCTTAAATACTACCAAATTTATTCTGCCATATATTTTTGTAGACATAAAACTTTATAACACAATAAATGCCTCACGTCTTTAAGGCAGCCTTTCCCAACATGGGGCCTGGCCTTGCAAGTGTGTTAGACTACAATTCCCATCCAACACATCTGGAGCACCCCATGTTGGGGAAGGCCGCTTTAAGGCACCCCAAGACTTGCTTTTGCACCAGGAGGCTATCCCTCTGGAAACTGATCTATGCAGGATTCTGGTTGCATGGAACATCACAAGATGGCTTGGTTCCATGGTTGCTTAAGCACATGTTTAAAACGAGACTCTACTGATTTTAGGTAGGTTGTGGTCCGTATATTCTGGCAAACTGTAAAGCTATCTGCATATGCTCTATAAGTGATGAAAGCCTCCAATCAAAGACACCCAATGTCCCCACTGCTCTCTGCAGCCAACAGTTGTCCCTCATGACAGATGTTATTCACAGGTTTGAATTCATGCAATGATGGAATAAGCAAACTGTACTATGCTAATGCTTAATCATTAGTGTGCATTGCTAAATAGCTATACTTCCCTTCCTTAAGAAGGAAAACGCATTGCTGGTAAAGCCCCATTTATTTCAAAAGCGTGAGCAACAAGCAAAAGCCATTTGTGGGCTCAAGGAATTATTGGATCTCCATAGGTGCAGTATTCTTCCAGACCCAGGTTGTAGCTTTTTCCTGTTCCTGCTTCATATGCACTTGTCACAATTCTAAACCAGCCACGCTCTCCCTGCAAGAGATGAATTGGCATTGACACTGTTACTGGCATATCAGAAGGAACTCAGGTTGAAATTAGTTTTCACTTTGTATAAGACATACGAGCATCTTGAATTTGGTTATACATCAGTGACTGTGCAACTTGGAAACAAAAAGAAACTGATTGCTTGGGGTGGGGGTACTCCAAGCATGTAGGAGGGTGTGTGGATTATTAGGGAGTTTGTGAAAAAGCTATAGAAGCACATGCACCTCCAGATCAGAAACGTCCCTTTGTCGTCAAAGAGCCATGAAAAAAGGAGACTAGGGGGAAGGTGGGCAGATGCCCCAACACCCATCCCTAAACTGGTTTGCTGACAAGTTCCATCACTACAGCACCGACTCCCTAAACATCCTCTGCTGGTAACTGGGGGCTGGGAGGGGAGACAATCCTTGATGAACCAGAGGTAGACTGGGGCACTTGGTTCATGGCATGGACACGGTCAGCTGAATCTCATCAGCCTGAACGGGGATGACCCAAAACGCTCTACCTTTGCACCTGCATGTACAACTGCACAGTCAGGGACAACACAGTAACCGATGCTTGGGTTGACCTTGAACCACAGGGGGTTGTTGAAAGAGGGTTTCTGCATTGTCGGAACCAAGGTATATATCATAACTACGAAACAATGTTAACCTCAATTTTAAGAAACTAAAAACATACAGTGAAAGAGACCTTCCAAAGCAAAGGAATCACCTGGATAATCCCCCTCAGCCCCCTGGGTATCCAAGTAAGTTCTTAATGGCCTCCACATAAAGGGCTTTCTTCAGCTGGTGCTGGAAAGATGGCAAGCTTGATGCCAGGTGGGCTGTACCAAGAAGGTTGCTCCAAAGATGGGGGGCCTTCCCCCGGTTGCCTTGCTCCAAGCTTCCCATGGGCACTCAGAGGAAGGCCCCAGAGGTGGAGCATAGTGTCAAGGGGGATCTCGCTGAGGATCCTAGAGCACTGGTGGTTCTCGTAACCTTCTGGGACCCATGTCTGCTAGGTTTACCCTTTGAGCCTCCTTTTATGCTCAACTTGGATATATGTGTAAATAAACCATAAAGCAGACACACAACATCATGAGGCTCCAGTGACCTCATTCCAAGCAAACAAAACCCCAGGAAATGCTTGCTCCACCGGCGTTCTCCATGCTTGTAGAACTGGATGCAAAGAGTACAGAGTGAATTTCCCTTGGAGCACAGCTGGATTTTCTTCAGTAGCTGCTCTAGAGAGAAGGGTCAGCCATCCTTTTTTGGCCACTGCTAACGTGGGAAAGCTGACCAGAGAAGTGATGCTTCTAAGCCTGGGACACGGGTCAGGTTCCTGCCACGGCGGGACACGAGCCATTCCTGGGAGTCTGCTGCAGCCCCAGTGCCTCACCAAGACAAATGCTGCCCACGGGTTACCTACCTCCCCGCAAACCAGGCACCTACTATAGCACACGGGCAGGGAAATCTTGTTTTGGCCTGGAGGGAAGGGTTTCAAATTCTGTGTGCAGCATAATGATGTTTCATTAACATCTCTTGTGTGCTAAAATATAGAGCAGTACCTCTACAAACTCAATTCGTCGTGCTCTCTACTGCAATTACCAAATTTTGCCAAGACCTCTGTTGAAAGTATGTTGCAGCTAAATATCCCTCCCCGAAGAGGATTCCATTTGATTCAATTTATCATGGTCGTAGACCAGAACCCCCTGGAGATGATGTGAGTTGTAGTCTAGCACATCTGGAAGGCACTGGTTTGGGGAAGGCTGCTCCATAAAGTATCTGGGGGAAGAGTGTGCACCTCCGCGCCCAACGGTGGAATCTGCCCACCCATCAAAAACCTTGGGAAAACAATGACTTCTCATTTGGAGTTGTTTGTCCCTGCTTACCCAAGGCTCGCCCCAGGAGTTGCGGACAATCCAGTATTCTGTTCCGTTTTCTATTCCCCAGCCAGAAACAGTGACGATGTGGTTTATGTCTATTGAGTTCTGGTGTTCAGCAAAAAGTCCTCCAGTGTATTCATCCAGCTTTGGAGTAGCCATGATTGAACAGCTGTTGAAAAATTAGAAAACAGAAACACTTTTAGGATGCTACTGAGAACTAGCAGCTTTGAATGCTCACTTTGGATAACACTGTCAAAAAAAAAAAAAAAAAAAAAATACAAACCACAATTTGAAGATGTCAAGGTTTGGAGCTGCATCCAGCAATCAGGGGAAATGGGCTCTGTAAGTGGGGGCAAAAGTTGACCTGCCTTACAAGATTTAGAGCCATGATAGTGGCCTTTAAATGACTGATGGGCTGAAGGATTAGTTCTTTGTTGCTCACAAGGTGTGACTAGAACAATGGGTGGAAGTTGCAGGGAAGCAAATGCTGGCTAAACTTTAGGGGAGAGCTGCTCTGCAGTGCATAGGTGGCCGAGTCTCCCTCCACCACTGAGCAGGAGGTGAGACACAGGAACTTCAAGATGCTTTTCAACTCCAAAACTTTCTGTCCCCCTTTCCACAAACAGTCCATAAGCCAGGTTCTCCCTGGTCCTCGCTGGCCTCCCTCTTCTACTATCTCCTGTAAGACTTGAGTTCTCAGCCTATCAGCCAGTTATCATCTGCCCCGTATCCAACACAAATTGGGGCACACTCATGGAACGAGAGTGAGAACACAGATGTTGTTGGATAAGGGTGCAGGGTCTCAGCCCATTCCAGATGACACTGGCTGAACCACGTGTAGCATTCCAGGGTCTAGACCCACAGGAGCAGAATCCTGGTGTTTTTCTCTTGCATGCATCCTTACAGTAGTCGCTACAAATAGCGTATTCTTGAGCTTCCATTGGTTATTCCCCAGCTGATGGCCATATACAGTGTGTTTCTTTACCTGATGGGTCCATTGACATAGATCTCTGGCATCATTTGTTCCCTTCCACTGAGGTAGCCATAATCAGCGACTTTCCACAAGGTGTAGTTCGTTATTATGTGACACTTTCCATAAGTAACACACGTTCCGCACTTATTAAACTTACTGCACTCTGCAAAATCAACACAGGGATTTGACTGGTACAGGAAGTTGTCGCTTATCCAGTGAAAGAATGAACCAGAAGTAATGGAAGCAAGATTTTGCAATGCCACTCTTAGGCAGTTCATGGAGATTCTGCTTCCCCCAGGGATGACTGAGCCAGCTTCTGCTTAGCCCAGAAAGGAACTAACCTTGTTGAACAGCCACCCCGAATGCCAGACATCACACTTCAGAATGCTTTCTAAGTCCATTCCATAAATGAATCTCTGAACCATCGGTGCTTATTTATTAGAATTATATCCTGCCTTTTTCTTTTTTTAAAAGAACTCAAAGTGGCTTTCATAATTCTCATTCTGCTCTCAAACTTATCCCCACAAGAACCCTGTGGGGTAGGCTGGGCTGAGAGTCTGTGACTGGCCCAAAGTCACCCAGTTGGCGCCATGGCTGAGCGGGGACTCGAACCAGATCGCCTGAGTCCCAGTCCCACGCTGTTCACCACTACACCGCACTGGCTTTGAGGATGTGACAGTCAAGGTGGGGCTCCTTTCCTCTAGGGAAAGTACCTTCCATGTACCCTCTCAGAGCATTTGGCCTTCCTATCACCCTTGGACTCCGAGGACGAGTCACCAGCACAGGTTGATGTCTAATTTCATGGCCCTTGTAGTAGGCATATCAGAAGGAACTCAAGTGGAAATCAAGTTTTCAGATAGTCTCTTTGGGCATCTGGAAAGCACAGTCCAGAACCTGGCCTGTGTTTTCCAGGATCCCAAAGAGTTCTTCCCAGCCTTCCCACCCTGATCCCTAGTTATTTTGACTCATGTGGATTTGATTTCAGCCGTAAGCATCTATGGGAGCTGATCTTGGCCAATAAGCAGTGCTGAAATATCACAGACAGACAGTCGGACAAACAGGTCTCACTTTGATCTTTAGCTTGGTAATTGTTGCAAGTCTCATCTGGGATGCCGTGCTCATGAGCGTATTCCCACACACCACTGTCATCGCCACCTTTGGCGCACGAACCGGCTCTGGAACAGTCGACCACATGCTGAACTGAGAGGAAAGCAGAGGGCCAAGCGCCTTTCCTCTTGATATTGATGCGATCTGCGAGAGGAAGGCAACCAAGCACAGAGTAAGCTGTAAGCATGCATCTGCAGCATCAGGAACTCTAGGCAGGTTTGGGACTCCTGTTTGGGTTCCAGAAAGCCATGCCATCTTCAAGGACACCCCACAGCCTCCTCCCAACATTACGCTCCCATCTCCCCAAACTGTTGGTCAGCATTCCGTGACCACCAAGCGCTCTCCACTCTTCCTGGACTGTCTTAGGGCTGCAAGGTAACACAGGCGCCCACCGCATGCTGTGCCAGACCCTTGGTCCAGTGCTGACCCAACCCCAGCACTGCTGACACAGGCAGGCAGCTGTGGCTGTCCAGGGTGTCATCCATGGGTTTTTCCAGCCCTACCTGGAGATGCCAGGCTTGGAGCTGGACGCTCCTGCATGCAAACCAGGCACTCCACCTCTGGGCCACAGGGTGTTCCCCACCCCTCTTAGGGCTTTCCTTCTAAAGCTTTCCATGCTTTCTTCTTGGCATGGGTTAGTGCCACCTCTACCCTTGTTGAGGAACTGAGCTCGCTGTTTTATAGACACTTGGCTAAGCTTGGCCTCCGCTTGTGTAAGTGGTTCCTGTCTGCAGTCTGAGATTTGCTTTGCTCAGGGTTTAACCCCAGAAGGATGTCTTGAGAGCCAGAAGATCTCCCTGTCCATCCCAGCACCGTCTGAGGGGGAGGTCCATGGGCAGAGGGTGCGATTTGCCGTTGCACCCAGGGAACCTCCATTTTCATTGCAGCCCTGCTGGCAGTCAAGGCCCCCTCTGTCTGGGAGTTGGGAGCTGCTGTGCCTCTATGGGTCAATCCCCCACACATACCTGCTAGGGCGCTGGTGGAACCATGAGCCCAGCAGGACCCACAGTACTGCGGGGCGCCCTGGTTGCGTGTGGCGCTTGCGTAATTGATTCCGTTGACGTTTCGCCAGTCCCAGCTCTTGGGCAGGGCAGAGAGGTCCAGGTACTCATGCGGACGAGGGTACGTCCTGTTTGTGGGAAAGAGCAGGCGTGCTCTAGGGACAGAAGAACTGCACCAAGCCAGTGTGGTGTAGCGATTAGCGTGCCAAGCTGCAATGGGGGCAAGTCCCATTTAAATATCAGTTCAATACTGGGCAATACCATATCAGGGATACAGGGAGTGAGCTTGGTCAGTGTTTCTCTCTCAGCCTAGCCTACCTTGCAGGGTTATTGTGAAGACAAAAGAGGAGGCAAAATCAGAGGGGTGAAGACAAAAGAGGAGGCAAAAGAGTGAAGGGGTGGCGGAGCCAGAGTTCAAGAAGCGCCGCACTGGCAGCAGCTGTGCCAACCCATCCAATTTCCCCGTTCCCTCTGAGTTCGGCTGCAGTCCTCACCCAAGCCCTGGGAAGGGAGGTGGGGGAGATTGATTTTGTCAGCCGTAACTGCTGTTGGGATGCATCCCATCAGCCATCGTGCCTGAAATCCTGCAGCAGCTGCTACTCTTTCCAATGGACCCAGTGGTAACTGCATACCAGGACCATGGAAACCACGATGCTGGGTTCAGACAACCAGAGAAACCACGGTGAAGTATGGAGACTGTTGTGGGATTAGGAGGAGAAGGAGAAGGATGGAAACCACTTTGAGTTCTCTAACAAAGGAGAAGATGGGACATAAATCTAATGAATACCGATTTTATAATGGATGGGAGGAATAACACTCCCCTTTTCACAAACTAAAATGACTCACCCCTTTGCTCCCATTTGACAGCTGCCAGATGTAACCAGAGGGGAAAATAAACTTTCCCACAGCCTCTGTGGTGCAGTGACCAAGGTGGATCTTGCTGGATTTGCCAGCCTGCCCCCACCCCGCACACTGCCCACCCAGGGCCCTGATTCCTACACCTGCGCTACTACGAATATCTGCAGTTGCTCAAGTGCAAGTATTTCTTCTTTATAAAAATTTGCAAATATCATGAACATTCGTAAAAGGGGATTAAAAAACGGGGTTAGCTACCATGGGCAGCTCCTTCAAGGTGCTGCTGGGGCACTTGGCAATCCAAAGTGCCCATACCTGTCCATACCTGTCCAAACAGGGGTCACAAAAGCAGTTGATAGCTAGCTTGCATGCTCGCAAGGAAAAAGCAAGGGGAAGGGGAGGACTTCAGCGAGCCCCAAATGGCTCACTACCGCAGCCTCCTCGGATCCCCGTGTGGACGGGGGGCTGCGCTGGGGGAAGCAGGAGGGAGGGAGCCAACAATCTCCAGCCAGACTGACTGCCTGTTGGGATGTTTCCCCAGCAACCGCCTCACCATCACTTATTGCTAGGGTGCGTTGGCATGACTTGTGAGCGTGTCCTTAAAGTTCTGAAGATTCCAGCAGGATCAGCTGCATCACAAGAATAAGCGACCGTTGATTGCTGTGTGTTGGCTGGCTTTAAAAACTAAATAATGACAAACTGTGTAGAAGAGGCATTTCAGCAGATAAGGGATTTCATGCAGGACAAGCAGCAGCTGCTGAAATCCCCGGTTCTACACAGCTCTTTGGCACAACTGTCCCCGTTTGCCTCTGGTCACTCCGTCTGGTTTCTTGGACTTTGGGCAGCCCCACGGCAACCCGGCAGCCTGTGGGCTGCGGCGACGGGACCAGGCGGCCCGCTGGACTCGCTGGCTTACCTCACCCCGGCTGGCTTGCGCGGCAGCGGCTTGTAGCAGCTCTGCCCTTCCTTGAAGTGGAGGCCGGCGGCAGCAAGGTGGACATAAATGCAGAGGAGCTGCCCCAAGATAAAAGCGGGCAGGCGGCAACAGACGGGCATGGTGGGCTGGCAGGCAGAGGGCTTCCCCTGAGGACAGCGGCCTGGCAAAATGGTTCGGGTGGCCGAGGTGCTGCAGCGCTTGCTTGTGTTGCACAGCGCTGGCCGGTCGGATCACGCGAGGCTCGGAGCCAGGAGGGCCTTTTATGGGGTTACCCCCCACTTGTGTGGCAAGCACTTTCCTATCTTGGTCCAGCCATCTCAACTGCCATCCCAACCACCTGGACACGTGGCCTGCAACTGGCAAAATAGCTCCCTTCTTACTGTTCAACAAGCACCCGTGAAACTCTTCTCGAGGGTCAGCCTTGTTCATGTCTTGCAGGAAAGCAACAAGTCTTGGAAGTCTTGTCTTAAAGACTGTCAGATGCCTTCTGGAAATTGCTCCAAGTGGTGGGAACCCGCTCTGTGTGGACAGATCGGAGATGTGAGGCCGGAGGTTTGCCTGTAAAGGGGGGCTCACATTACTGGGCCTGCTAAGACAGCTTTCAAGAGCAGGCTGCCCGCTGTGTGCCGAGCAAAGCCTGTCATTGGCGCTGTGCTCTCCTAAGGCCACAAGAGAGCTGGCAAGAAGCCCAAGGCAAGAGTCCCCACTGGCACCCTTGACCAGTTGCCCCCAAAGGATCAGGAACACTTGGGAACTGAGGAGAATGGGTTTGGTTTACTCTTGGTGGTGGCAGCAAATCTCTGCCTGCAACTGGGGCCATTTTCCTATTTAATAGATAATGGTTCCAGGTACCACGGTGTTCTGCAGTTTTCTGATTCTGAAGGATATTTTGCTTCCATTAAAGTTGTTCAGGTAACATGGATAAGGGAATAATCCGGTGCATGGTTGACTGGGGAACATGGGAAGTTTTAGGATGAGTTTTTGTGTCTTCTTGCATAAGATTGTAGCCTGGATGTATTAAAAGCCAGGAAAGCCAGTCCAGTAGATGGCAAACGAATTGCCTTTCCGGTGAACCAGCATTCTTGACGTGGCTAGCAAATGTAGCAATTAGAGCATCAGACTGGAATTTAGGAGATTCATTCATTTATATATATATATTTATAGGCTACCTATAATTGCTGAGGCCTTCCTAGGCGGCTTAGCTGCCACTCAGGAGATCCATTTTCTAGCCCCAGTTCACCATGGAACTCATGGAGTGACTGGGCCAGTCACTGACTCTCAGCCTAGCCCACCTCACAGGGTTGTTGTGAGGATAAATGGAATGGAGGAGGATCATGTAAGCTGCCTTGGGGGGGAAAAGTGAAGTTAAACATGCAATGATAAATTAAAATAATAATAAAACGGCTACTAACAAATATGTCACAATGGAATATTTCATACTAAGTTCTATAACCTATTTACTATCTTGGTATGAAATCATATGATGTTCCCTGAAGTCAGCTTGTGATGGGGACACAGGGGGGGTACAGGAGGGCAGCCCCAAGATGACGATTTGCCATTGGCTGCCAGAAAGAGAGGGACGGCCTGACACAGGTACTCAGGGTGCCAGATGCCCTACAAAGGACAGGCCTTTATTATGTATTTATTTGGGATTCTTATATGCTGCCCCATTCGCATAAGCCTTGGGACGGCTTCCAACACATAAATAGCAATACAAATATATAAAAACTAGAAACATCCAGGCAATAAAGTTAAAACAATAAATAAATTAACAATTAATTAAAATTACGTTTAAATAAAAAGGTCTTAGCCTGGCGCCGAAAAACAAATAGCGACGGTGCCAGGCGCCAGCTCTATTAGTAGAGCTGTCAAAGGAACAGTCCTCTATTTGAAGATGTACTAGCAGTGCAAGTTCAGTTCAAACATAAAGAAGGGAGAACAGGGCCTTGAATTTGGCCTGGCTTACAGGTTCAGCTGGGCATTATCTCAGTCATTTATTTTTTGCATATCTCCACTAAATTCTTATCTAATACACAGTTGGTTTGTGTGATCTTTTGAAAAACATGTTTCAGAATATCTCCATCATTGCATGTGTTTTGCTATCTCTGCTATCAGATTTTCTTTCTGAATCGTTTTGCTATCTCACATCCGTTGCAACAGGCAAAATAGCACCCTGCCTACTTTTAAAAAGCTATCCTTGAATGGGGGTTATTTCTCCTGATCTTCACGCTATTTCTGGGTAATCTTTTCCTTTTTCCTTTTTCCTCACTTACTTTCCCTGCCCTTCTTACCTTTCATCACACAGACAGGCAGTGTCAGGATTCCAGACCTGCTTGGAATGAATATTCTGGTTCAGTGGAAGCATACAATCAAGCACTCAGTACTTTTATTTATAGCAACAGAAATCCCTAAATTACAACAGCACTGAAGGGTAGCCATTAAGACTGACTAGGAAGAACAGAGCATGTCCAGAGTGTTTTATGGACTTGCAGTCACATTCATATGAGAGGGAGGGGGATGAGAACTTGAATGAGCGATGTGTGAGAACAAAAGCAGCACAAAATGAAAATACAGAAACACTGAGAAACATTGGAAAAACATCATGAGGCCTCAAGATCTTGAGTGACAGATAACAAAACAATCAGGACTTACAGAGCTTAACAGGTGTCAATGTTTGCTTTTTTACAGGAAGACAACGAGGGAGCTGCCAGAAAGGACATTGGAGACTCCAGGTAAGATGTCTCTATGCAATCTTATTTGCAATCCTAGATGCAATCCTAGATGCATCTTAGATAAGAGACACCTTCCTATGCAATTAGTATTTATTCATGTGTCCTGGGGCTTGTCTCCTTTTCCCATAAAAGGAAACAATGGAAGAATGCTGCAGATTGGGGGAGGGAGAGAAAACAAGCAGTTTTCTATATTCTAAAGTATAAAACGTAAGACTTTTATTAGGGCCACTCCAACATTAGATAAGGGCAATGAGAGAGGCAGAGGTAGCCCAGCCCTGGAGATCTGGCAGCTGGAGGAAAAGGGCACCTAGCCCTGCCCCCTCCACATGCAGATGAACTGGAGGCTGACTCTGGTTCCAGCACTGGAGGAACGGACTGGCTTATTTCTGCATTTGATTTATAACCCCCCTGTACCAGAAGTGGCACCCAGGCAATTTACAAAACAACTTAGTGTAAACAATGAAACATCTTGAAACACAATAAAAATAGAGGTTACAGAGCACGTCGGCATCTGGACCTGCCAATCCACTTCCTGGCCCAAAGGCCATCCTGAATTGAGCGTTCTCAGCTGGCCTGCAGGAGGACAAGAGAGAGGGAGCAAACCTCGTTGCCTGTTCACAGTGCCGGGACAGCAAACTGGCCCCAGGGTGGCTTACCTGCTCACCGACTCCGCATTATGAGATGCACAGTATTCCTTTGCCCTTTAAAATGGTTGTTTCCCATTTTCATCTACACATTCTTATTAGCATTTTTATGCAGATTGGTGCCCTCTTTTTTCATCGTGCATTCCTCTTTTTCCGGAGTTGCATTAGGGGCCACCCTAAGCTCTGCACATGTGTGCCATGATGGACAAGGGAAAAGTGTTATGCAGAAGGAGACCGTCCTGCTTGCTTGTCCCTTAACGGTCCCTCCATGAGAACAGAGGATGGGAAGTCGCTCACTTCTGTCTTTGGAAGGCTGCAGCCTTCTTCTGCAGTGGCTTCTGGTGCCTTCCCAAAGTTGACAGTCCTGATGGGGGCGATGGGAGTTGTGGTTTGGAGAGCATTACAGCTAAAATAATTTAACAGATGCTATATGGATGTCAGGTATATGTGGTTAAGGAACACACCCCTTTTGAGGCTTTGCAAACCAGGTTTTTAAGAGTAATATTAGGAAGTCCTTCTTGAGTGCCTGATATGTTCTCAGGGCTTGAGACTGGACAAATGACTATAGATGCACAAATGCTGTTATATGCAGTGTTTTTTTTGTCATAGAATGCACCGGAACGGAGTTCCAGCACCTTTTTTCGACAGATTTTCCAAGTTTTAAAAGTAACTTTTGAAAATTTAATGTTTGGACCACGTGGATTTGAATCGCCCTGTTGAGCGTAGCAGGTCGGCGGCAAAATCATTAAAACGGTGCATGCGGGCTGCTTTTGTGTCGAGTCTGATGCATGCATGCCTCGTCCGCACTGGTTGTGATGGCGCTGCTAGGCTTGTGATTGGTTGTGTGGTCACGTGCCGAGTGCTTACTGTGGGCAGCAACTGTTAAGTTTCGTTACACAACTGACATGTGTGGGTGTGTGTACAGTGACTGACTATGTGCGAAAGATAAATAATTTCATGAGTTCTGGCACCTTTTTTCTTACAAAAAAAGCGCTGGTTATATGGTACAAATTTTTGGCTAGCGTTGATATTTTGTCCTTTTGGCCTTGCTCCATTGATTTTGATGGATACATTTCAATCCAATGGAAAAGGCCACTGGTGGTAAAAATTCAGTCCTTGAGCTGTTTGTTCATGTCGTACTGATGTTTGGGTATACTCAAGCGAAAGAGGTCATCAGACAATGTACTGGGGACATTAAATTTCAAAATCATCTGAGACTGATCGATTGCTGTCCTAATTATCAGGATTATGTGGCAGTGTTCAAGATGTCAACCCCCATGTCAAATTTGCTAAACCCTAAGCACAGGAGTGCTTTCACACTAGTGAAATTAAACTTTTTATCTTCCACACTTTTTGAAGGCAAGTATAGTAAGGTCCCCTGTGACATGGGAAGTGTGGAAACAGAAACCCATGTATTATTTTGCTGTCTTTTTTATCATGATTTATTTACCACTATTCTTTAAAAAATGTCTTAATCATTTTATTTAAAATATTTACTATCAGACTGGAATACTGACAAAGTAGCTCTTTTTTGTGCCTCTGCTATCACTGTAGGAAGATGATAAATAAATTAGGGACAGCATACTTTAGCAAAGGCTCTATCATTATCACTTTTTACCATGTTGCAATTATGCATTTTATTTATTTAATTTCTATACTGCCAAACAGCCAAAGTCCTCTGTTTTACACACGTGACCTTGATATTATATATATTGTAATGGTGATTATTTTAATTGTTGTGTTTATTACTTGTCTCCTTGTTTTTAATTCATATTAATTCTCATTTTAATTGTGATGACAAAAAGTAACTTGTTTGAACTT